AGGTGTGGTGGAAGGGGAGAGGGGAGGAGGGAGGGAGCAGCTTTGCTACGGGGCAGACTCAAGGTTCTTTCTCCTCTCCGCAGGTGCACAGGGACTCTGGGGCAGGTCCCTTCCCTTGCTGGCTTCTAGGGGGCGAGGAGAGGTGATGGAAGGGTTAATGGGAATGTGCTTACCCCGAAAAAATGTGTAGCCCTTGCAGGAAAAGCTGGTCGTGAAGTTCTAAGGCTCCTCCGCCATCCAAGAAGTGAAACTGCACTTTTCTGGCCTAAGGCCAGGGGCTCTGAACTGCGTGTAAACAAAGAGCCGTGCAAGCCCGAGCCGAGGGCCTGCTCGCGCCCGGCTGCCGGAGCCTAGTCCCGAGGGCCGACCGCGTACCCCGCTCCCGGAGCCGGCCCGGCCTCTGCTCCGCACCGGCTCACCAGGGCTTGCCACGCGCCAGCTGTCCGGGGACACAGCCTCGTCCACCGCCGGATCGACGTGGTTCGCAGGCTCGAAGCGGAGGCGGCTTTGGAGAGTTTCTGGGCTCGCGATCGCCCGTCCAGGAGGCGCCGCGCTGTCGTGGCTCCGCTTGCCCGCGGGTGTGTGAGCTGTGCCGAGGGAAGCCGGGCACCGGACTCGTCTCAACCTGCCTCGGATCCCGCCTGGGGTCTGCGAGGGACTGCCGCTGCCTCCGGATTACCTCTGTGGAGCCGCCGCGAGCCTCCTGCAGGACTGTCCGCTCCGAGAGAGGACTCCTTCTTTGCTCTCGCTACAAGCTGATCTCGAGGCGGCCTTGGTGCGAGCAGCCTCAAAGGCGAGAAGCGAGACGGAGCTCGCTGCCTTGCTTGTCCTCAGCACACAGCGGTGCGGAGCAGCGGTGCAGCGGGGAAGTGTTTCCCTTCACTGTAGTGCACTAGGTGGGCGGCTGAGTTCTTCCCCGGTGCTGCTGTTACTTGCAACGGGTTTCTTTCCTAGTATTCTTTCCTTAAGAAAAAAAAAGTCCCGATTCCCTTGGAAATCTCCCCCTTGCCAGGCACAGCTTCCGCCGGGCGCGGAGCGGCCGAGGGAATCCACTGCGGCTCCCAGGTAAGGAGCTCCAGAGGAGGGCACAGCACCCCCGGGGCACTGCTCATTCTCTCCCCTTTCACTGTGCCCCGAGGCTGCTGCCTTTGCTTGCTGCTCCTTACCCCCTTCGCGCTTCGAGCCCCATCTCCTTCCCCTGCCTACTCCGCTCTTTCGGCAGCATCTGCTTATTTGCTCACCCTCGCTGAACTTTTCATTGGCACTAGGACCCATTGTTGGTGTTATTATTATTAGTAGTAGTAGTAGTAGTATTGCTGGGTTATGGTTTAAAAAAGTAAAATAACGAAAACAAGCCAGTCTGAGCACAGACAACACTCAGTGTCACTCAGCAGGTTTCGGGAGCTCAAGTGAAAGCGGCTTCCAAAGGTGGATCTCTGTCCGGCTTTCTGGCTAGCAGATATGATTGATTCGTCTCACGAAACCTTCCCTATTGCTGCTAAAGAAGAAAACCCAAGAACACGGATGAATAAGTTTTCCGGGGGAGAGTTCACAACGGGCTGGACGGAAGCTAGACCTTTCACTTACTTTTTCCCTTGAAAACCCAGGAGATTAAACGACTGCGATGCACTGGTGCAAACTGTTCAAATACACTTTTTGGACAAACGTGTCGTTACGATGGACATGGGCAAAGGAGGAGAAAAGCAAGAAGGCTGAACGAGTGAGTAGAAAAAAAAAGAAAAGAAAAGCTGACATGCAGACTCCAAAAACTGCCTGTTTAGCCGCAGTGTCATTTCTGAAACTGGGCTGGACCTGCAGCACAAAGCCCCGGCGTTTAGAGCTGCTGCTGCAGCCCTTTGGTAGCCTCCAAAGAAAAGCTGAATTATTGCAACTCTAGGTAACTTTAGGAAACTCGTTGTGACCTACATTGCTTTTCTGAGTCAGCAATGAGCAGCCATAGCAGAGTCACACGCAAAATTGTCCCCCCTCCAATTCTGACGGTGAACTACGGATCTTTTAGGGTGGAGCCGTCTTTGCGACAGTTTGCTCCGAGCACTGCATGCCATAGTTGCTACTCCCCTGTTCACAAATAAATCAGAGTTAGATGGAGCCCGCTTCCCGCCTCCTTTCTTGTTCAGATTGCCTTTGTACTTGTAGGGTTCAGTACAAATCCACCCAGCCGGAGCACCTCGCTCAGTGCAGTGCCGCATTATCAGCTGGTGTCTTAGTCAAAACTGAGTTCAGCAAATTACAAATTTCCTCCCAAATTTCGAAGAGGTCATTAAAGTTCCTTCATTTTCAGTTTGTCTGATGCTCAGATAACAGACATCTTGCAAGTAAGAGCTGTTAGGTTACTCCATGCCGTTCCCCTACTTAAAAAATAAGGAGGTTGTGTCAAGTTCATAACCAAAAACTCTCGCTACCCAACACTGTGTCCAGTTCCCTTTGTTTGATGGTCTTTCGGGCTAACTGTGCAGCGGTTTGCACGCCAAGTTCTCGCCTCCTCCGAGGTGAGGGTGTTTTGCGGATCTGCCCCGCGGCTGGACCGCAGAGCCGAGCCCCGAGGAAACGGGGAACAGCTGGCACCAGTTCGATCCAACTAATCCGTACAGGGCAACGCTCCCCTGCCGGGAGGGCGTCCCAAGGAAATAGGGCAGGCTCTGGGTCCATTTCGATTCAAAATGCCGAAAAATTTGGGCTGGAATGGCTTCGCCAACTGCGCCCTTTGGAAAGAAACTCTTGTGATTCCCTCCCCATGTTGGTTGGTTAGTTTTAAAAACGCCGCTGGCACTGCCGCCCGAGGGGAAGGGCAGACCCCTGTGCCCCTATCTTTGGGGCTTCTCGCAAACTCTCGGATTTCTTCTGGCAAAAGACAACTACATGTGTCCCTCTCAGACCTTGAAGTCCCTTTCCAACTGGGTCACAGAGATCAATCCCCTTCCGCTTCTGTTAGGATTATTCTGACTTTATTTTTTTTTAAAGCAAACTTTGAGAAGCACGATATTGCTTGGAGTCGACGCTCTGTGCCAGTAGTTTTAAGTGGCTCTGGGTTTCCTGAATGGTTACATTTCAGTCTCACTTCTTTTTCTGAAACGACCGAGATTTCTGTATAACGATCGAAAGCCCCCACCTATTCTCGTACGGCTGAAACCAGAAGAGAAAATGGCACTTGTGATTTCGGGGGAGGAGGGAGATCGATTTCTGCAGTGACATGGCACATGGCCAAGCGGTGTTTCCCACTCCGCGTTTGATATTATCAGTGTCCGACTGTAGCCGGATCTGGGGGGGGAGGGGGTGCCACTCTTACACCCCCAGACTTGGTCGGGTGTCAGGCTTGTTCATCAACAAACTACTCAATTGACTCGCCTGCGTGTTCTTGTTAGGGGGGAATCCCTGTCGCTAGCACGGAAACCACAACTTCAGACCTCTCTTTTTTCCTAACCCCCAGATGTCTAGCATAGCCGAGAGGGTTTTGCTAGCACTGGTTATTCAAGGAAGAGGCTCAGATTATGTAAAGAGGAACAGGGTGTGAAGTGGCTGGAAGTGTTTGCCTTGGGACCATGTCAACATAACCTGACACACCAGTGGCTCCCTCTGAAACGAAATGAGTAGTCGTGCAAGATCGGAATCTGTTTCCTGAGTTTTTCGTACCGATGGCTGGAGTTTTCCGGGGATTCCTCTGTTCATTCAGCCCCTTCGGGCTCCACGATGCGGGGACATGGGGGGAACTCAGGGAAATGAAGCCCAGCACCTACACCTCGCTTCAAAAAGTCTCGAAAAGGGTCAAGGAGGACTGCGCGGGGCTTGCCCAAGGGCAGCTGGAAAAAGCTCCCAGGACCCGAAACAGGCTTGGGAGAGCGGGTTTGGGGCACGCTGCAGGGGAGTGGACGGATCTCCACGCCAGTGCCCCTCGGGCAGCCGCAATAGTCAGCCGGTCCCAGTTCCCCTCGGCTCCCCCAGGCGAGAAGATCGTGTCCGGTGGCTTCTGCTCTGATCACAGCTGTATTATTCCAGCTCTACTATTATTTTTTTCTCCTCAGATGCCATGGGATGCCATGTGTGACCAGGATTGCGTGATTTATGTGCATAAAATCGGATCTCTGAAAAGTTTAGACTAACCCATGCACTCAATGAGATTTCTTTTGTTAAGCAAAGTGTACATGGGAATGCTGAAACCTTTGTAACAATGACGGGGTGTCATTTCATTCGTGTAAAATTGTTGTGACAGTGTCAGGATACATGACTTAAAGCTTTTAAGTCGGGACATGACTTAAAATAAAGGTTCCAAGAAGGTAAGGATAAAGAACCAGAATCTCTCCAGGAACAAAATCGTTATTTTTGGTACAAATGTAAAGTCACTGAACCCCCTCCGCCCCCACCAGAAACAAACACGAACTTGACCGTATGATTTGCTCAACTAAATTAGTGGATGTTTTTTAAAAGCGCTTCTCACAATGAATTGAAAGAAGATTATAACCAGCCAACATCGATAATCCCTGTGGGGAGAAATAAACTCTTGTGGCTTTGCTCAGGACCTTCGCCCCTATTTAAATGCCTTTCACCTTTTCTGGAATAGGAGTTTCCTCCAAAGCACTCCAGCGGAGGAGCATTTTTTGGGGAAATAGCTTTGTTGGAGTCTTGAACCACAACTGCCAGGGGAAATAAACAGCCAAGTACTGAAGAATTAGGAATACAATAGGTATCATGCTTAGTCCCAGTCGGAAATACTGTTTTTCTCCCCTTTTCGTTCCCCACTAGTCAAAACATTTGACAGCTAGGAGCAACCGAGAGCCCCCGCCCCGCAAACCGGGGCATCCCGGCGTTGTGGTTGCGCTGTGACACGCGGTGAAAACTCCCGTTTCGATCACTTTCTCTCCTGTGACTTGCCCTGGGACTGTCTTCCTATTTCGTCTCCTCTCAGACTTCGCGC